ACTCCAGTCTTCAGTGTCACATGATCCTTCAGAAATCATTCATATTTGCTGCTCAACATTTCTTATTACTACCATCAATGTTGAAAAGTTGAGAGTTGTGCTGCTTAATATTTTTTTGGATAAATCATAAAAGTCCAAAATAATTTTTTTTGGTAACATTATAAATGGCTTTACTGTCTCTTTTTTATCAATTTAATGCATCCAGGGTGAATAAAAGTATTAATTTCTTTAAAAAAATAAAAAAAAACCTTGCCGAGTCATTTTTAATGATTTGGATGCTGAACAATTTAATCATCTGAACCATTTTCATAAAGCATTGAAATTAATAAATCAGGTTCAGTGTAGTGAAACAATTGCTTGTTAATATTTTATACTTGTTTATACTATGTTGTTTAGTGGCACTGGATTTTGTGTAAACAGGTTTGTTTTTCAATAGTTTGTATTTCTCACTAGAGAATGACAAAAATTCTGCTTTTGTGCACTTTTTCCCCCGCTGTGCACTAAATTTGATGTGAAAAGCCCTTAAACGAAACGTACTGTTACCAGACAATGTTTTTCTTTGTTTTTGTATTTAGTCTTTCAAATTTTACTAAGGTAGTTTATGTCCAAACATGTTTTTCTTAACACGTGAAGTGTAAATTAACATCAAAGCTAACAAAATCTACTAAGTTTGAAAAGGAACAACAAACAAACTAAAAATATACTGAAACAAAAATCTAAATAAAACAAAAGTAGATGGGATTCAGACCTTTCTCTTTGTCCAGAGGGGGCAGGATGCTGTTGTCCCGGCACACTTTGAAGTAGATCTCCTGCTCCACGCTATCTGGAATCGCTCCTTGCGGGATGATAATACTGACTCCTGTCTCAATGGAGCTCAACACTCCACCGTTACAATTAAAGATGCCCCGCGCCGTGGCAACCACCGTGTGACCCTCATCTTCCTCATCGTCATCCAGCGCACTGGGGCTAGAAAGCAGACAGCAGGGAGTCGTTTAGTAAACAGAAGGAATGAATCCAGCTCTGGCTGATGTTCTTTCATCATCTTACCTGACGGGAACGGCCTTGGGAAGGGCGTTGATGTTGTTGTGCTGATATTTGGGCCTGTTGTCCATGGTGCGCGTGAAAGTGTCGACCCCGCTGTCGGTGTCCAGGGGCTGGGGCGAG